TGTCACTGAAGTGTAAGAAGTGCAATCAATGAGTGCAATCAATGCAGTGAGTGTCTTAGTTTTGTTGCATGGACCGGGGCGGCCCCACGGGGGTGGGGGGGTGGGGGGGGAAAGAGACGAACCACGAGCCAGTGAAGCTGAGTAAGCGGGCAGGGAACTCAAACGCGATGTCACACACACCATTCAGTACAAACTCCGACAAAAAGTACAGACTCAAACCCCACCACACAGCCACACACACACACCTGGCGCCACACACCAACCCCTGAAAACAGCCGTAGATACCTGATACTCATGAAGAGGTACTCAGGATGCTGACTGAAAACCGGCCGGCAAGGCAAAGTATTGCAACAGCTGGTTCGACGGGTCCGAACAGCGTTGCGTGTATAGGCGTGGGGATGTGTGGCCACGCGTGTGGGGGTTTGGTGTGTTTTATCGTACTTGGTGTTACCGTACTGGGATACCCGGAGGTAGCGGGTTACGGAACCCGGTTGGGGGATAGAGGGCCCCGCGCTCGACTGACTTGCCTGCATCAACTCGTCCTTCTTATCCGGCGCCGTTTCCTTCTCCGCCTTGGAGTTTAGATTCCGGAGGCTAGCACGCATCTCCTCCACCAGCTTGTTTGTAAATCTGTTCACTTTCTCCACCTGCAGGATTGGGGCCGGGGATGGCGGGGACGAGAGGGAGGGGGGAATGTTCAATGGAGTTGGGGGTGTCCTCCACGTGACGGCCATGCCACCAGCTACACAATCGTCGATCGACCATTCTGGCTTCGTCATCTGCCTATCCTATCTGTGTCCCTTCTACATGAGAAGGCTTGCGGCCCGCCGCTGTACCGGAAACGGAAACGAGCTTACATCGCGCTCCAAGCGCCTGAAGAAAAGCTCCTGGCTGGAGTCCTTCGTGTTACTGTAGCGCTGCACAGTCAGTGAAGTCGTGCGGGGTGAGAAGCTGGCTTCGCCGGCCGTCTCAGCCTCCTTCTGGCATTTCTTAATCAGGTCCTTCAAGCCCTTGTAATCGATGTAATAGTCCGTCCATTCCGCCTTAACCTTGCTTTCAATATACTTTCCATACTTCATTCTTCCTCTTCGGCCCTAGTTCAGAAGAAACACTTTTTCGTTCAGGTACTAAAAATGTCAGCTGCAAAAACTAAGGCTACGCGCTTCCAATATGCATTATTATCTAATTCGGCGTAGTGATGGCACGGCATTATGCCGCCTGACGGAGTTACGGACTGAATGATACCCAGGTACGACAGGGAAAGATGCCTTGCAGCCGTCACGTCAACGAAACAAATATGCGAACCAGGACATTCTCGGTGAGGGGACACCCTAAGACCCCGGCATGCTGTGGGTGCACATGTTAAGTTTCGTCCCTTGAAATTCTAAACTACCTTTTCGAGTAGGTCCTGTACTATCGATGCCATCCTAACGTCATGTTGTGTAACCACACCGTTGTGTAAATCATCCGATGAGTATCGCCACTTCTCGCAGCGATTCCTCCAGGATTACAGGCCTACATATTTTTAGGGTATGTGAGGACGTACAATCGACGAAGGCGAGGTCCCATCACAACGTGGTTGGATTGTCGTCAGTAAGCTTTTCACAGGAAGCTGTACGCGTCACTTATCTATGGTGTATTACCTGGTCTCGATCTAGCCGCATGCCCTCTACGCAACGTCCACATCGGCAAAGCTTTGAAACTTGCGGTTACATAGAGCTTTCCAAGGCTGTCCCATAAATCGTCTGACATTCGTTCCCGCATCCTTGCCATCCTCGTCCCTGGCCGTCATAAATTCCTGGGAGGGGGTCCCAGCGGAGATACTGTGCCACTTCGTCCTGCTGCCAAGTCAAATCCTTGCACGAGCCATGAAACTGGAATGAAGCACAAGCATGGACATAAAATAGGGAATCTTATCTGTTTTCCACTGCGGACGCGCCACACCACCTGCGCAACCAGTGACTTGAGACACTGCACCTACACCCTTGCAGACGGATGCAGGACTAACTACGCAGCTGCATGGCAGCCGTCAACAAGTTTTGCCATACCGCTACACCGCTTGATCACCGCAACCATGTGACAAATAGAGCTGCTGGTCGCCCAGCAGCACATCAAAAAACCATCCGGGGCGCACGCACGCACACCCTTCCACACAAAGAATGTGTTCACGCCCGGCAGAGGTTCAGGTCGAAATGCAAAACCAGCAGCAGCGCAGATTTCTGAGGGACCTTCCCGGCAACCCACTTAGCGCCCAACTTGCGCCGCATCAGGCCCATCCATGAGCCTGTACGCGCTCTTGTCCAAAGGAGCTGCCGTATCACACAACTTCGCAGCAAATTTCAGGCCTTGAGACATCCGGCAGATCTACTGCCCTTAAGCAGTTCAAAAAGCAAGCAAAGAAACTGTGGAGGGAACCGATCCGCAGGTTGTTGCTTTCCCACCTACACAAAGCACCAAGCATGAGCGCAACCCGCATCAGGCGACGGCAGACTGGCAGAGCAGCCGACAAGGCAAGCCGTCGGGTTCAAGCATATCACTCTTCAAATCCAGGGAGGGCGTTTCAGTTCGCATCAGGGCGCCTTCGGCATGTCAGTGTTCGTTGTCGTGGCCACGTGACCACACCGGGTCACATGGTCGCCGAAAATGGTTCCGAGAAAAATAAAAGGCTCCGAACAGGATTCGTTACGTGATCGTTAGCCGGAAGACGGCGCCTCCAAACACAACCGACATGGACAGCACCATGCACACTGTAAGGAGCACAGGCAGGAACCTGCTGTCGTACGGCCCGTCAGCCTTGGCTCTGCAGCGTCATTAACAGGAGCAGCAACAGGAGCAGCAGCAGCAGCAGAGTGACGAAGCGGGTATAGAGGGTAGTGGGTAGTCCTCAGCACCTAACATCTTACACATAAAACTCACACAGGGAGAGCTTAGTTTATCATGCTCTGAAGAACCACTTGGGTTAGGGTCCTTCAGGATAGCTGCATGAAGTGCCCGGAGGCGTGCCAAACAAAAGTGCGAGGAGACGCAGCAGAGGAGCCCAATGATTGGAGTCATGCGGGTGGTTGAGGCTTGAGAACTAGAAGTCTGTCTACTTGCGTGGCAGTCACGACTCCCCGGTACTACCCCAACAGTCCGGGGCACCACCCTGGCGCTTAGCCCTCCTACAGACTGAGCTTACTCGAGGAAGATAGCACGTTTTTGGAAGTTGAGGCCCGCCCATACGGCGATGGCGACTGAGATGAAGAGCATAACAAGTGAAACAACCCGCACTACAATCGCGCGTTCCGTGAACTCATCTCCCCAGTGTCGATGAGCATGCCCAGCCACGCCTGCGCGTTTTCGGAGAATGTCATTTGAGGGAAAAGGCTAGGAGCCGTGCGGAGGAGGACTGCCATGAACCAACCTGATAAAGCTGCCGCGATGCCTCCAATGGTAACAGATGTGCTCATCCAGTGAAGGAATGTACGTTCATTCGCTGCGTGTTGGATGTAATGCCTTAAAAGTTGTAAACCAGGCCGGCGGAAGCCAATCAGCCCCGTTCTGAAGCTTTCTCACCGAAAAATGCTTTCGCGTCTGTCCGACGAATGCTCGCCTCAGGCATTCTTAGTTCGTGGGATGACTACTAGGCTGTTCACGTTGGCCAAACCTCGTTCAATTAAAATAAAAAATGACAGGGACCAACAGGGACAAGCGAATACTTCTTCGTAAATCTAAGGGCAAAATGATTTGCATCTATACATCTCGCCATGTGTCATGAGCGGACAAAAGCATCTTTCCCGGTGCCTAACGTACGGTTGCACGATAGAGTATTGTTTATAGTTCGGATTCTCTCACTAATTATCATGAAAAGCTAGATTGGAAACAGGATTTTTAAGTTGCTATTCGCCAGGCTCTGCACACTTTCGGTGTCGGTTAGCTGGTTGGCCTCTTGCACGACACGACTATGAACCCTAAGGCTGCAGTTGCCACAGCGGTAGAGCGTGTGCCCCACGCGTGTTGCCGCCATTCGCCCTTGGCTTCGCATTCCACGGGATGATGTCGAGGCTGTATGGCATCCCCTTCCATCGTCGTCCACCAGCTTCTGAACCTGCATTGGTAAAGGAAATAGCAGCTCGTGCACAGAAATTAGAAAATCAGAACGACAGCACACCGGCCAGAACTCTATCCACACTCCAAGAGGACACTAGTGAGAGCAGCGACGGTCAACGGATCGCGAGCTCACCTTTGGCCGACGATACCATGATAGAGGAAGGCATAGATCAAGGAACATGATCAAGTACATCTACAACAAAATGCACCTCTTAGACGGGATAGACTCCATAGAGTCTCGCTCGGGCCTGGAGACCACCATGACCACCATCGTCGCGACAAAATTGTGTTCATAGTGATGGAGGAGTTCATCGGCAGTGGCACTCCAGTGCATTCTCTGTACGATATTAGACTGGCAATGACAGTGCAGCGATCTACAAGGACAAGGTCCTGGTGCAGGTTCCTCAGTAGCTGATGGACGATGACCGGCTATCCGACGTCCTGCGCAATATGGTTTAGTAGCAGGGGCCATGTTACACTCTCAACATCATCCCGTGGAGTGTGAAGCCTGGGGCAAATTGCAGCAATCCTGCAGGGGGCTATGTACCCACTGCTGCGGCAGGTGCAGCCTCAGATGCATAGCAAACCAGGCAGGTGCTGACAAGCCCACCATCCTGGTCGGCATCCCGCTGAACCAAAAGTGCAGAAGTCCTTCACCACCCTGAAAAAGAAGAAAAGGCCGCTCACAGGCAGCACTGTATCTTCCTGAGGGATGCACTGACAAAGATGGGCAAGTAGCTACATCAACAGCGCATGGCAATGTTCGCATAACTACTGCGTGACATCAGGAAAGGGCGTGCAGCTGAGATGGTCACATGGCGCCAACATGAGGGTCATGGATGAACAGTAACCCTAAAACCGTAAAACCCCTTCAACGAGAGATCTTGGGTGGATATGCAGCCGAACAACTCTGGATTTGATGGCTTGGCTGGCATGGCATTACAGGGTGCTCATGCTCATGCCGGGGGCTGTGAGCCAAGAGCGAGACTCGGAAGTTGAGTTTCCTTCAGTGGATTATGGGAGGGCTGATGACTGACTGGAAACTAGCTCGACTGTGACAAGTTTCAGATGCTGGCTGCTACTTATGATGTCATGGTCGTTATGGAAACACATTGGGTGCGTGGGGTAGGGTTGTATTCAGAGTGTTGTTCCTACGGGATCACGGGTCTTTCCTGCCGGGGGGGATTGCAATCATGGCGATGTATGGGTGCCGAGCTTTGGAACTTGAGGCGCTGCACCAGCGGGCGCAAGGGATGCGGTGATGGGTGTTCAAAGAACAACGCCGGCTAGCACATGTGTGTGGTTGTTACAATGGGCTCCAGACGCATGAAGAGTACAACCAGCGGTCCAGCTGGCCGTACACTGCAATACACGAGGCTTTTATTCTATTCTTATTCTTGTTATTTTTTTCCTTTACCTTTTTCCTCACTTTAGCTCTTGTTTCCAGCTCGGCGGCTCATGAGCCTCTTGGCTCGCTTGCGCCGTACAAACGCAAGAAGCTTGTATGCAACAGGAACGTCAACAAAAAACGTCACAAACGTCTATGAACCGAAGGCAGCAACAGTTCAGCACATCCTCTAATGGATTTGGATCATATGGAGTCCATTATCCCTAACGTAGCACTGCCGTTTGACCTGCGTTGACGTTTGTAGAGTGCACAGCTCTCGCGGCAGGCAGTCACGCTCGCCCCATTAAGATGGGCGATTGCGTGCGCAGGAACAACATCAACAAACGCGGAGTAAGCATATATCGACTGATACCTTGATAGCTTAAACCAGTTAAACCAGTGATCTTGTTTCAATTTCCTGCAGCCGACCCGCAGTTTGAACAATGCTCAGATAAAGCGCCCTTTTACTCATGCATATACTCATGGGGTTTCCGCCCAGGCCTTCTATGAACAAGTTTCAGAAGTCGGCATCCCCAGTCCAAAGTGGACTGCTTGCCCAACTAGTCAGACCCTACGACGCGGAACAATGCAGCCCCAAGTGCAATGTGATGCCCAGCCGGACTTGCTGCCAGATTCGCGCTCGCACCCGAGCATCACCCAGCTAGTTGCTATTGTACGGCCTTTCATGGTCTTATGGCGGTTGTTCCCAAGGCGTTTGCGTCACCTAGGCCGCGTCCGACGCCATGACGACGAGGCCAAAAGACCGGATAAGTCGTGACGACCCATCGCGTTCATCCTTATCCTGTAAGAAGGCACAGCGTCCTTTCAGGCTGTCGCGCGCCTCAGAACGTCCCTGAACAAACATAACTTTTCTTTCTTCACCTTGCCTACTTTTACAAGAAGCCACAAAGGCAACAATACTACTTCCACCTAGCTGAAAACACCAAAATCACCAATCCAAATAGTTAAACAACACCCGGCACGCGAGTATAAAACTTGCAAAGTCGCGGCTAAGCACAGACTTTAACGACAGTGGTCGTCGAAAAAGTTGGCCATGCGCACTTGCACGCACGCACCACAAGCCTGCATATCAAAGCGCCCAAAGCCCGCTCCGGGTGCTGCACGCCACCGCCAAGCTCTTTGTCGAGGCACCAGTCGGACTCCGTTGCAGGTGGATTGTTTGTGTGGGCGAGCTGGCTGCGAGCACATGCGGCCGCGTCTGGTACTGCTAACTGCGGTGTGCTGTGCTTTGGTGTGCTTTGGTGTGCTGTGGTGTGCTGTACTGTTTGACTCTGCGTGGTGTGACATCTAAACGCAGCACAGGCGTTTCGGACGATGTGGAGATCTGACAGCCTTTTGTGCCATATTGTGTTGTGGATTGTAAAGATGACGACATGCGTCCTTAGTCGCCAGCCCAATACTATTGTCCTCCTGCACCTCCACCTCCGAAACCAACCCCGCCCAGCTAGCTGACCTGCACACCTTTACGCGACATCATAGCTGCTACAGCTACTTAGGGTGTGGTGCTACTGCAACTTATTGCTGTTGCTGATGGTGATGATTTCCTACACGCAGGTCATGTCGTACCGTACGGAGCTGAGCGAGAAGCTCTTGAAGGTGCGTAAAGGGAATGGGGGATGGCCGGGAACAGACAACCTTTTAGGCGCTACAAGTTGCCGTACTAACCGTACTGGCCGTACCGACCAGCAGTAACATGTGTCCCCCCGAGTGCGCCCATATAACTGACAACGAAAATCCCAACGGATTCTGCATCCCCTCCCCTCCCCTCTCCCCCCTTCTTTTTCCCCCTCCCCTCATTCCCCCTCCAAAACACACACAGTCCGCCCTGCAGTACGCCCGGCTGACTGGCGAGGCGGGGCGCATGAGTCGTACAGATCTCACCACCCAGTTGGAGCCCCTGGTGGGGACTCGAGGAGTGACCTTCCTGGCCGACCACGTTATATACCCCAAGGACAGAACTAAGGGTGGGTCTGACAGACAGGCGGACAGACGAACAGCCCGATTGTCGATTGGACAATCCGTACATCGGTTGTACGGTCAATCTCTCTCTCTTGCTTCGCCTCCCGATTCCCAACCCGCCTCATTTAAGGGTTTCCCTTCCCGGACACACACACTCACACACACTCACACACACTCACACACACTCACACACACTCACACATACTCACACACACTCACACATACTCACACATACTCACACACACTCACACATACTCACACACTCACGCGTGGATAAACACATACGCGTGCCAACCCCCCACCCGCACCCCCAAACCCCCAGATTTGGGTCAATTAGCCGACTCACTCGCCCGCCAACACGCCGCGTACGAGCACCTGACGTACCGCCCCGTGGTGTCGGCGGTCAATGAGGAAGACGGGGTGGTGTTTTCGGCCATCTACTACGTGCTCCGAAACCGTGGTGCCGTACTGGATGCAACGGAGCCCACGGGCCGGTGCGTGTGTGCATGCCGCGTCCTCGTGTGTATGTATGTATGTATGTATATGTATATGTATGTATGCCGATATCCCGGTATGTCAACACATCTGTGTCTGTATGTCGACATATCTGTCTGTCTGTCTGTCTGTCTGTCTGTCTACATGTTGAATATGCCGTGTCAGTTTGTCAGTGTGGGGATGTCTTCGTTCACTCATCCAGCTATCTGTCTGTCTGTCTGTCTGTCTGTCAATAGGAGTGAAATGATGGACGGAGATGTCGGGGGTTCAGGGCGAGGCCACCACAGGATGGTTCCTCGCAAAACGGTGGGATGTACGATTATTGAAAGGCAGGGAGGTCAGGGCTATTTTCCGTACACACACACACACCAACGTACGGCCGCCACCAGCCATCGTGTTCCGGCGTTCGGATCCCCACCGTGACGTTTGATCACCAGTACAAAAGCATGTACGACATGGACGAGGACAGTCGAGGTTATTAGGAGGGGCGGGGAGGACTGGTGGGTTTATGCTTGTGTGTGTGTGTGGGGGGGGGGGGGAATAAATTCAGGGGTTTAGGGTTTCACGGCGATTTGTCCGCCCAAGGGTTAGCTCCTTCGGGAGCTAACCCTAAGGAATTGCTCACCTCGGGTTGAATTCCACTCTCATGCCGAGATATGAGTTGAGTCAGTTTCGTCATTGCTTTGTACTCCCAAGGGCAGTTCGCGGCTTTGAATGACACGTCAATCAATCGTTCATTTGTTTTTGCATCATTCATATTATCATCACCATCGCTATCATTGTCATTATCTTCATCAGTATCATCATCACCATCATCGACACCATCACCATGATTATAATTACCGTCATCGGCATTATCATTATCATTATGTGGTTTCCATTCCGGACATTGTTTTAAACAACGGCAGTTGATTTGCATTTGCACGTCGCATTTTTTGTGCATTTTATATTTTTCCATTCCACCTGCTGCTCGTTCGCGTTTTCTGGACTATATCCCTCCTGTCCTTCAAGCCTTCCTCATAAACCCTTCCCGTCCTAAATATGCGCCCCTCCCTCTCTCCCCGTGCTCAAAAACACACATACATATATACATACGCACCTTCCCCGTATTTCAGTATCAGCAAGGGTTTTCTAATTGACAAAATGACGTTCGACAAGAGCACGGGTGCGTGGGGTGGGGTGGGGGGAATACTGTGTGGGGGGGGTGGGAAAGGAGGAAGAGAGGGTGATTAGCTGCGGTTAAATTGTTTAAGTTCGACGATGGACAATGCGAGAGGATAGGATGTCTTTCAGGAGCTGTGGATGCTGTTGCGAGTTGCCGCTTCGGTGCTTTACGGCTTTGGACATCCTTCCCCCCCTCCTCCAGGGGGCCCCCAACCTCGGCAATACACCCATACATTCACCCACACACACACATACATAGATACATACACACATATATAGATACATACATACATACATACATACATACATACATACATACATACATACATACATACATACATACATACATACATACATACATACATACATACATACATACATACAGACATACACACATACATAGATACATACATACACACATACATAGATACATACATACACACATACATACACACATACATACATACACACATACATGCACAAACACAGGTCGCCTGCTGTCCAGCCTGGTGGCTCGTCAGATGACGCTGGAGGAGCGAGACAGTCTGTTGCAGGATCCGACGGCCTGGCAGCCGGCGGTGGTGGACGAGGGGGAGCTGGTGGCGGTGCCACATGTGGTGGCGGTGAGGGGGGGAAGGGGGGGACAATACAATAAAGAGGAAGGCTGTGCGGTGTTGTACACAAGGAGGGAGAGGAGGAAAAGGAAAACCCAAATCCATTTTTATATTTTGGAAAGGGAGATACCCGGGGGGGATCAAGGATGGTTTTGTGCTGGGAAGACGGAGCGGGGGAATAACCTTCTCCTGACCCACTCGCCTGACCCACTCGCCGACCCACGGGCCACCTCAGGGACCCAACGACTACAAGTACATGGGTGAGGTGATTTCCAAATGGGTCGCCATGTGGAGCAGCGGAGCACCGCTGGACGACCTGCCAAAGGTACGGCATGCGATGTGTGCAGGCGTCTGTGTGTGTATGCATGTATGTATGTCTACGTGAAATGCTACTGTATGTGGTATGGTAAGTTAACAAGTGAGGCGACTGGACGCTCGACGGTTAGTTAGTTACAGCTTTTCGCCGAAAAACGCTGAAACAGCTCTTTTGTTACGGAGCAACCGAAAAGAAACCGACCTGTCTGATGACCGAATGTTGATCGTTGTCGACGGTTTGTCCTCTGGGCTGTTCACTTTCTAGAGTTATGATGCGGGTTCCTTTTACCCGGTGTGTGTGTGTGTGTAGTTGGAACCCTCCAAAACCGAAAGGGCCCCTCGGATGGTTAACATTTTACATAGCCTCGTTTCTTATCCTTTCCTCTTCCCTCCTCCTGTGCACTCTAAACTCTTCTCTCTGTTAACTCTCAAACCTGCCGAGAGGTGTGTTTTGGGTTTTTCCTTTCTGTCCACTCCCCCCGGCAGGTCGTTGCGTCCAACTGCCGGGAGCACGACGGGTACGGACTGCACAACAAACCCAACGGCATTACGTGGCAGGTGTGTATGTATGAGTGAGCATGCATACGTCCTTACATGTGCGTGTGTGCGCGTGTATGTATGTATGTATGTATGGATATATGTGCGTTTATGTGGCTCATGCTTAAGACGGACACTTATTGGTGTGTATATCTGAGCATATGCAGTACAGTACGACGGGAGATCTCTGCGATAAGTAGATGTCGGGCTGCCTGGGGCATGCATGAACTAGAATTGCATGGTACGACATACCGTCCTACGCGTGAAGAGAAGCATCGCTTGATAAAAAGTATCTAGACGAAGCGTGCATGGCTTGTGGTTTTTGAAGGGGGCGTATTTCTCGCTCCCGTAAAGCTGAAGTCGGACGATAGGTGAAAAGCTGTCGTACGCTGTACTGCTGTACTGACGGGGGCACGTGGGCGCTTGCAGGGCCTGGACCAGGGACGCGCCATCATCGCCGCCGCACACAAGACGTACGACATTCGCAACGAGCTGGTTTCGCACGCTGTGTCGTACGACCACAAAGTATGATAAATAGCTGCGTGCGCCAATTGTATCTGGCTGCTGCTGCTACTGCAGGTCGAGGGGGCTTCATGCCGCTGGTACCTGGCATACTGTACGGCATATACACACGTGTGCAATCCCATTCTGCACGTAACCCCAACCTTATTTCACCACCGCGGTTGCCCCCGGTCTCAATAACCCCACCCACCACCTGTCGCACGGACCCATTGACCCACATTTCTACAACCCACCGACCCATGGGTCTCCTTTCCATGTCAATTAAAAAAAATTGTCACTGCTGCCGTGTCTCCTCCTGATCTACATCTGTAGCTGGGCTTCGAGCATTGGCGCGCTGATGCGGTCAACCGAGGCGATCAGACGCAAACCCCGTTGGAGGGTATTGGCCTCATCTGCTTCAACCAGCACCTGCAGGTATAATCCTTCAGGCGCGGCTTGGGGCTCTCAGTGCGAGCAAAGGCCCATTTCAGGGGAAAAAAAGGCTTTTTTTGGTTGGGCGGAGGGAAAAGGGGGAAAAACGTAAAAGGGAAAAAAAAAGCGCCGGGTGAGGTTTGGCTGAGTAGGCATTTTCTTCAGAGCTTGGAGAGCTGGTTTATTACACAAATATGGTGCTGCTTCCCGCAAATCGATGTCCTGTTTAATGTCCTGTTTAAAAGCTACATGTGGCCTACCCGCTACGCCTTCTAGCCTTTCCCGCGCATAGCAGCTTGAGAATCGCCATCAGGATAAAGCGCCTTCCAGCCCTTCATTTCCGAGATGCTTATTATAAAATATACATTATCTCCATGTTCGTACCTTGACACGCAAACGCAGATTCGCGACATCTACATGTTCAGCATGAGGCACTACCCGCAACTGCGCCACCAAAAGCAGCAGCAGCAGCAGCAGCCCTGTGCCTAGTCAGTCAAGCACCGCGGTCATAGTTGCCAGATAAGGCAACACCTGGTCTGGCTACCCTACACCGCAATCAAAGCGCCAACGCGATTGGGCCTTGACCACGTCACAAGAAAGGGGCATCCGCTGACTCGCGTGCAAGAAAGGAGGATGGGATAGGATAGGATGGGATGGGATCCTACGGTCCAGGACTATTGCGGTAACGATGCGCCGGTGATATCGCGGAGACGAACATTCGACCCAAGGGCGAAGAAGAGCGGATGGTTCGGAGGCGGGAGGAGGTGTTTTTGTTGGTTACGGAGTGGCCGGGTGTTGTAATGGTAGGAGAAGAGTGCATTCCTAAAACCCTGGGAACGTGTGTGTGTATGTATGTATGTATGTTGTGGAAACCGGAAGTAAGCGGCGGGGCAGATCCTCCGTCCCCCTGCCCACCCTGGAGCTCATTGCCCATCCGGGGAGGGGAGGGGCGCTGTCGGAAGGAAACAAATCAGAATGTGGGAGCGTTGGGGGGTTAGGGGGCTTTGGGGGATAGGAGGGGAAGACAGAAACGAAATTGGATCTGGGGGAGAGGAGTGTAAAGGGTAAAAAGTACGGAGGTGCAAGTCGCGCCTACGGGCATCTGTTTGCGGTTTTGGAGTCAAAAGACATTTCGCGTTAGGTTCTTTGTGGATCAGCCAAGGTCTTTACTACAGGCATATCTGATTGGTGTTTTTGGTTGCTGAATTGGTTGCCATTTGTTGCCACTTCTTTAAGTTTCCTTTCCTCCCTAGTGCTGAGTGAGACACAGTCAATTGGGTTATTTTTTTCCTAGCTTCGCAAGGAATTAGTATGGCAGTACAATGACGACGGTTGGTTCGGTTGATTACTGGCCGTACGCTAGTCAACACATTTCTCCTGTTGTATACGTATTGTTGACTTACGTCCCTTATATCCGACACCATATGCGTCGTACGCATGCGCTCGGCCTGGCACATAGTACGCCAATGTACTGCATTTGTTTGAATTCTGTTTGTCTAGTGCAGTCACACAGCAGGAGGGAGGCGGGGGTTTGTAATCTAAAAAGGAAGGGAAGCATCCCCCCGTTTCATCATCGTACGGCACCTCATCATAAACGCACTTCCCCTGTAGAAGCTGCATTCTCACTTCTTTGCCTCGGCAGCAGCAGGCG